CGGGGCGCCCCGGCCTCGCCCCTGCCCGCCTTCCCTCCTTCCTGCAGCGGCCAAGCGCGCAGGTGAGTCCCCTTCGCAGCGTGGGGCGGGCGCGCGGCTTCTCCCAGCCGGGTCTGCAAGCAGCACTGGGGAGCGTGGGGGGCGCGGGGTGCGGAAAGTTAAAAAGATAGAAACGGAGCGCAGATACCCGAGAGAGGTGGGCGTTCCAGTGCCCGAGACCCTAGAGATGCTGCGCGTCCAGGGTCCTGTCCCTCGCGCGCCCTGCGTCTTCTCCGGCAGCTCTGGGGTGGTGCCTTGGAGAACAAAACCAAGAAAATTGTTCTCTCCTGTCCACCACCAGTTTTCTCGCAACAGTTTGACTCTTGGAATAGCTGACGGGCCCAGCTTTACTGAAGGCAGGAAAGGTGCAGTCGGGAAAACAGGGACGGCCAGGAGTTCGAAGCCCCTCTCCACCCCCTTGCCCCTTGATAATGCACGATTAGCCATCGCTTTACTTAACTCGCTAACTTCGTGAAACTTGTCTGCTTCCATCTGCTGTCTGGACCGGTAGAGTGATAGTGGTCTGTTTTCAGATTGCTTCACTCCAGCTTCGGTGCAAAATCTGATCATCGCCCTCAGGGATTAGGAGTCTAGTGTCGGGAGCAGGTCAGACCCGTTTCAGTGACAAACCAGGATTCGTTGAAGTGTTGTTTTAGTGTAGTGCTCAAAGCCAGAAATATTCTCTCCCTTGTACTGAAAATTACCTAGCACACCACGTTTATTTGCACTTTTCATAGAATTCTCTGCATTTCATGGAAGTCTCTGATGTACTATTTGGTGAGAGAAGCAACTGACGTATTTTGTAGCTATTGCTGCATATGATTCAAAATAATTTAAGACTATTTCATTAGCTCTGGTTAAGTTTATTTAATTATAAAAAATACAACATTGAGACTCAGGGTATAGATTTTTGTGCCTCACACCAATTTGTACTTTTTGACAGGGACTTTTTGTTGGTATTGAGGAATTTTTGATGGAGGAAGAAAGGCTTGAGGACTGTGCCCCTTCTTCAGTCATACCGTCAGCTTTACATTTAACTGCCACGGCAAACCTTTTCTTTCCTGGCGTGGGAAGAGATTTCATTGCTATTAGGGAAAACAGGATTTTTTCCCCATTATTTAAGTGTAACATTTGTAAAGCTTTTAAACATGTGGGATGTCAGGGGTTACAAATGAAAACACATTTTGTATGGTGCCAGAGGATTTGTTGGTTGAAAAGACTTAAGCAAAACATCATGATAAATAGTGATTTGGAAATCCATTAGGCTGAAGCCTGTGAAATAAGGGAAGCTCCAAAGTTCCAATACCATTTGTTATTTAGACCCCCCAAAAATCCCCAGAAGGTGGGGGTCAGACAGTGGATCTCCACTCTCCCTCTAGAATGTAGAGGTTCTAGTGAGGGAAAATGCATTACGTACAGCAGAACGAATAGCATCAGTCTTTTATATCTCTACCTTAATAGGTCTTTAAAACCTATTATTTTCATATGTTCCCACAGTTGATTTTTGTTGTTGTTGTTTGTTTCTGTTCTCTCTCTCACACTAAGAAATACCACTATTCCTGGTGGAGCACTGAAGCTCAATGATTATAATAGGACCAATTCTAAATTATCTGTGAAAAGAGGCCATAGGTCACTGAAACATAAAAAATACAAAAATCTAATTTTCACCTACTTTAGTTTTGCATCAAAAAAAAATTTTTTTTTGGCCACAACTACTAAAAAGCAGTAAAAGTCTACCTATAAGTAGTAAATAAGGAGGGAATAGAAGTTGGAGACTTACATGATAGCCATTCAGGGCCCCCATATTGACAATTCTGAGGGTTTCTTTGAAAAAAGAAATTTAGTCTAAATTCTAATTTAGAAGGTTTTAAAAGAAATTTAGTAGTTCAACAGCATCTGTGAGTATTGTCCTTATTTTATATATGAGAGAACAAATAAAAAGCCAAATGACTTACTGCAAGGTTATTCAGCAGGGCACATGTAGAGCTGGAAAGGGGGCACCTGTTTGTTTCCAGTGTTGTTCAGTAGCATTTTGAATACATCAAAAAATAATAAAGTGCATCTAGCTCAGGCATTTTAAAAGTTCACCAAGTTGAGAAGCGTACTATTTTGAAAAATTATTAAAAAAAAAAAATCCTGGAGGAGGAGGAATTTACCTTTTCTTGATCAAAGCTTAAAATGCAAAGGTCAAATGCACATGCCTTACATTTTGCCTTGATGGATTACTTTTGTCACAATGCTCGTAGTAGAGCGGATGGTCATGCTACTTGGAGTTTTCCACCCATTTGATATTTCCATGAAGAAACAATTTGCCAGAAGCCGGCCACAGCTACATTTGCCCTGAGATGACGCTAAACCCCGATTAGCACAGACCTTTGCTTACAAAAGCTGGAGGATATTGGTTCAGCCCTTTCTGTTAAACCAGTCAGGATTTCCCTGGGTTAGTAAACTTCGGGACAGCTTGGTCTCGTAATAGTTGGAGTGGAACAGAGTTAGCAACAACTTCAGGACCAACAGTATAGAAACAGTGTACTTTTGCAACTTTTTTCTTTGTCTTAATAAAACCAAGCTACTTGTTAAATACCAGCAGAGTCACTTTATAAAATGATTTCTATACAGATGTGCTAAGATTGTCATTTCCACTGGTTGATTTTGATCATCTCTCTCTTTCTGTTCAAATCTAACTGCATTTATGATGTCAGAAAATTATGAACTGGTTGATGATGTTGACTTAAGCTATATCCAAAAAAATGTCCTGGCTTGCGTTCAGCAAGAGAACCATCATCTGAAAGATAATATCTCTAATATTGTGTGCACTGAATTACAACATAAAATTCCGTGAAGCCAATAAAAAAGGAACTGTGGCCTTTTTTTTTTTTTTTTTTTTCCCAGCTAGCTGTCTGTTTTTAAATCTTTAAATGTGTTCTTCCTGGAGGCAAATTACTACTGCCATTGATTGCTCTGAGCTGGTTTCATTGTCCCATCTGCCACTGAACAGTTTTCATGAAATGATACAAAGCATTCATTTTATTTCTTGTAGCCTTTTTTTTGCTTGGAATTAGATAATATGGTTATGTATTTTTTTCATTTTATTGTTTTAATATCTGTTCCACTGATGGTTCTGATATTATTGGCATCCTTTCAACCCAGCAATGCCTTGATGTAGATTGTGCATATGTAAAAATAATTGTTGAGGACTAACTATATGCAAAGCATTGTTCTGAGCACTTTGCGTTTAATCTTTCTGGCATCCTTATTGGTTAAGGGTTATTATTTTATAATTCTATTTTACAGTTGAGGAAATGGGAAGGGAAGCAAAATAATTTGCCTAATATAGAGTACTGGGGGAGCTTAAATCTAGAAAATTGATTGTGGAGCCTGAATCTTCCTGAGATATACTTAAAGACTGTTCAGACTTGTTTGCGGTTACTGTGATATTTCATCAATCCATCCTTTTATTTTTTTAATTATTACTATTATTATTTTTTTTTTTTTAGAGAGGGAGGGGCAAAGAGAGAGGAAGAGAGAGAATCTTAAGCAGTCTCCACACCTAACACAGAGCTGATGCAGGGCTCGATCTCATGACCCTGAGATCATGCCCCCAGCTGAATCTAGAGTCAGGTGCTTAACCAACTGAGCCACCCAGACACCCCAAAATCCAATCTTTTAAAGTGTATCAAATATACAATAATGTGTATGTGAAGAAAATGTAGCAATACTATAAAGATTATTGAACTATCTTGGGACAAAAGGCACATTATTTAACAATAATCTAAAAAATTTGAAGAGAAAATAACCATAAGGACATTATTGGGATAACTGACAAAATTTGAATATAGATGCTGATTTAGGTAACAGTATTATATCAGTGTTAAATTTCCTGGTTTTGATCATTGTACTGTGGATTGTGTAAGAAAATGATCTTGTTCTCACACAGTGAAATACTTGGGAGTAAAGACCAACACAGTTGTCTTACTCTCAGTGGTTCAGGGGGAAAAGTATATGTTCAGAAATAGAATGATTTTGGGGCGCCTGGGTGGCTCAGTCGTTGGGCTACTGCCTTCGGCTCAGGTCATGGTCCCAGGGTCCTGGGATTGAGCCCCGCATCGGGCTCCCTGCTCGGCGGGAAGCCTGCTTCTCCCTCTCCCACTCCCCTTGCTCGTGTTCCCTCTCTCGCTGTGTCTCTCTCTGTCAAATAAATAAATAAAATCTTTAAAAAAAAAAAAAAGAAATAGAATGATTTTAAAAATGGGCAAAAATGTAATTAATTGGTAACTCTGGGTAAAGAGTATACAGGAATTCCTTGTACTATTCTTACTTTTCTGTTTGAAATTTTGTCAAAAGAAAGTCACCCCAAAGTGAAGGTAGAAAACAGGAAATGAAGGTATAACATTCTAAGAATCTTTTTTTTTAAGTCAAGTGAGGGATTGTTTCCTATGCTCTGATTTTTTTTTTTTTTCCTTTTTAGGGGTTGGAGGAAGGATCTTGAAAGAACAAATCTTATCAAAAATAGCTTGATTTTCTCATATTTCCAAATCTACCCATTCAGAACTCCCCAACTTTCCAGCCTCCAAAATACCAGGCACAGTATTTTCCTCACCTCTTTAATGGATTGGGAGTGGGGCGAGATTAAAAACATTAGTGCCTCTAAGAGATAAGATATAAAGACAGTCTACTTTTAGTGATATTGAAAGTTAAATTGGGTTGGTTGTATCATTTCCCTGCCTAAAAGCCATCATTGGCATGCTGACATTGACTGGTTTTTATATCAGGACTCCGTAACTGTATTTTCAGGGAGCTTGGCCCATGCCACTCTTTCTAACTTTGTCTCATGCCACTCCACCAAATACAGTACCCTCTGGCCACATCAGATCTTTGTGCACACTGATCCGTCCTGCCTTTGTCTGTGAACTCTTGGCTTTGCCTGGAATGCACCCCATCGTTTTTCTCCTGAAATTCTGTCCATCTTTTTTTTTTTTTTTAAGATTTTATTTATTTGAGAGCGAGAATGAGAGAGAGAGAGAGCATGAGAGGGGGAGGGTCAGAGGGAGAAGCAGACTCCCTGCCGAGCAGGGAGCCCGATGCGGGACTCGATCCCGGGACTCCAGGATCATGACCTGAGCCGAAGGCAGTCGCTTAACCAACTGAGCCACCCAGGCGCCCTGAAATTCTGTTCATCTTAAGTCTCTCCATAACATCCATGGGGAAACTGTCTCTAATCTCACGCAAAATTAAATTTTCCTTTGTCTGCATATCAGTGGGGTAAACAGTGCTATCTGCTTTCATTCAGCAGTTCTTATTAATTTAGCATATACTGTGAGCCAGAAACTGTGCCAGGGCCTGGGGATTCAAAGGCACTCCTGGTCTGGTAGCTTGGAGTGCTTCGTAAACAGTCATGGATAAGTATATAACAGAGAAATGAACAAAGTGCTCTGAGAGCTATGAACTCTAAGTGACAACTTAGTCTTGAAGAAAAGATGACAGTGAAAACCCAAGTGAGATACCATCCCCGCTCCCCCCAGGCCCCTTTCCCGACTGGAGACTTCCAGCACAATAATCTAATTAGTGGCATAAAGTTTAAAATAACGATAGTACCTGTGGGCTACCCAGGTAGATATGTGTAATAGCTAAAAATACAAGTCTGGAAGTCAGGAGAGAGAGGTTGAGTCTGGATATATGAATCCTACAGATCAGTGATTTTCAGTGTGTGGAGGCAGGAAAGAGCTAGAGGCAGATCAGAATTTCTTGGGCTCATGTACTTTTTCCAAGCTCTCCCCTCCCCTTCATTGCCCAAAATTCTGCTCTTGCTCTGGTGACATCCTTCCCGGCTTACAATTCGTTGCGGAAAGTGAGAGGCAGTATGGTGTGTGTGAAGCATAGGGTAAGCGGGAAACACAGCGGAGAAGCCCTGGTGGTTAAGTGGTTAAATGCTCGAGTGTGGGTGAAATCGCCCAAGAAGAATAAGATGAGGAGGAAGGAAGGGGATGAAACCTCAGGGAGAGGAAGTTGTAGAGGGTGGGTGGAGAAGGAGACAGGTGGCGAGGAGGGAGAGCAGGAAGGACGGAGACCTGAAGGCAGAGGTTGCAGGCTGGATGATGGGTGGGCGGCAGTGCCTGGGGCTGCAGACGCAGGCCTCTGAGGCCAGTATCAGCCCAACGGCAGTGGCAGAAGCCCAGTGGCACCGAATTTTCCAGTGACTGCAGTTGAGGAACAGAACACAGCAGAACAGGTTACTTTTTCCAGGGAATTGGTAGGAAAGGTGAAGAAGAGGCAGGCGGAGAGGTAGATGGAGGGGAAGGTAGAATCCACAAGGAAAGGTGTTCTTTTTTTTTTCAAGATTGAGTGGGTGGGGGTGGGAATCTTGAAGAGGTGTGGTTACCGAGGAGAAGGAACAGAAGGAGAAGGAGAAATTGAAAGTATAGGAGCTAGTTCATGGAATGAGATCCTTTAGGAGTGGTTAGCATTGTGGAGGAGAAGAAATTCTGCTTTGGTGGTAGCTCCTTGAGGTTAAGAACTATTTCTTACTCGTCTAATATCCCTAATAATACCTGGCATGCAGTGGGCATTCAGAAAACGTTTATTAAAATGAGTAAGGATTTTACTTTTGGGGATTAGTCTTTCCTGATGGGTGTAGTTGAATAATGAAAAGGAAAAAAAAAAAAACTCTGCTGTTTTTAGCCTATCATTAACATCTGTTATGTACACTGTATGAGCCATATATTTACAGCATTGTGTTCTTTGAAATAACATGGAAAATCACAAATGAAGTAGTATAGCTAGTAATAATCACGATCACTTGATTTTTCTGTGCCTGATTCGTATTTCTTAAATTCCATTTCAGCATCTTGAAAGGTGTTATGCTCAAGGCACTGTGCTTAGAGTTCATCAGAGGAGACAGACATGCACATAAAGTCCATATAAGACAGACTGTGTTCCTTTATTTAACAGAGGGACACTATCGGCTCCATGCCTTGATTAATTTTTAAACGCTCAGAAAAAGAACATCTCTTTGATTGTTGTCTGTGTCAGATTTTGACTTTAAAAAAATCTTTTTTGTTTAATTTATTTATTCGGGGTGGAGGGAGGGGAGAGGAAGAGAGAGAATCTTAAGCAGGCTCCACACCCAGCACAGAGCCTGACACGGGGTTCGATCTCACCACCCTGAGATCCTGACCTGAGCTGACACCAAGAGTCAGACCCTTAACCGACTGAACCACCCAGGTGCCCTAAATATTTCTAATATTAACAAAGACCCACTTTATATACAACTCCTGGTTCTGTGGAACTTAATTCTTTGGGAGTATATTCAAAAAGAACAGATTGGTTAAGAAAGGTGAAGCCGTGTCATTGCAGACAGATTTCACGGTGCAGATGGTGCATGGATTGTGTGGGTTTTAAAACGCTGCCAGTTTCCGTGTTGTAGACCGAAAACTGAAAACAAATATGTGAAGGCAGTTCTGGTTCACATTTGCTTTCCTACTGCTTGTAAACTAGCGTACAGATTCATGCTAGCTCATTTTGTATTGCCCCCCTTTTTTTTCTCAATTTCCCTAGAAAACTTTTTGCCTTTTTTTGTCATACATCATTGCCAGTGAAATATATTACATAAAATATGCTAAGCAAATCAAATTAGAATATATAGATGTTATTTATGAGGACTGTAATGAATTGATTTAAACTCTGGTTAATCTTTCCTGAATAAAATTGCTTCCGTTGATGAACTGCTGTCTTGAGAATTGACTGAAACAGTATTTGGCCTTCAAAGTCTTATCTTTATGCTGTTTTCTTTCTTTCTTTCTTTTTTTTAACACCAGATGCCTGGTAGACACCTTAGGACTTTAAAAACAGAAAAGACCTGCTTCTAGGGGACAATGCTGAGGGACACTATGAAATCTTGGAACGATAGCCAGTCAGATCTCTGTAGCAGTGACCAAGAAGAGGAAGAAGAGATGGTTTTTGGTGAAAATGAAGATGATTTGGAAGAGATGATGGATTTCAGCGATCTGCCTACCTCACTTTTTGCTTGCAGTGTCCATGAAGCTGTGTTCGAGGTGCAAGAGCAGAAGGTAGGCTCATATCCTGCCTTCCCCTGCATTTGGTATTGGGTTCAATGTTTGTGGCTACGGGGAAACAGTGGATTGCTGCTGCCCATTTGCAGAGTTCGTTCCTGGCCCATGACAAGTACAAAAAGCGCGCATCAAGCTTTAAACATTGCTGCAGCATTTTAATTGTATTTTATGAGAGTACTGGTCTGCAACACATAGGAAGTATTTCAAAACCAGTCCTTTCCCACAAATATTTTGAGAAGCACCAGTTTATAGTGAATTCTGGACCGGGTCTTGTGAAGTCCTGATTCATTCATTCATTCAGGTCTTATTAAGTCCTGATTTATTTGATCATTCATTCATTCATTCATTTTTGGAGCCTGTGATTAAGGAAAAGCTAGTGATTTTTATCCTGGCTTCCTATTACTTGGAAGTAAATTCACGCAAGCCAGAAGTATTTTAAGCTTTTTTCTGAGTCTAATGACATAATTAGGACTATTTATCAATTCACTGTAACAGAATTGTTAACATTTCTTGTATTACTTTCTACAGTTTGGGGGAAAATGATTGAGTTTATTTTTAAAGTCTGCTCTCCTTTAGTTCATTCATTATTTACCTGGAAAGAGAGGTTTTGTGTGTGGCTTTTTTTTTTTTCCCCCCATCATGACCTCACAAAAGCCTATAGGTCTTAATCGTACCAAAGTAAAATATTCTTGTCATTGGTAGAAATTTTGCATGTGCAGAGACTTTTTCTCAACATACCAAACCTAATTTTCTGTCTGTGCACCCAAAGTGTTTTCCTTCCAGTGGCTTTCTCGGGGAAAACTTGATGTGGTTTGACTCACTACATACTGAGTGCCTCGAGTGTGTAAGGCACTGTGTCACTTGCTTTCAGGGATAGAGTAGGAATGAAACAGCTTCTGCCTCAGGCCATTTACAGTCCTGCCGTGGAGATGATAAGTAATTCGGAATAAGATGGAATACTAGGGCCTTTAGCGGCACTTGAAAGTACACTGAGGTATCCGAGGACAGGAGTACAGCCAGCTGGAGTGAAAGATCTTATGGGGAGACGGCATTGGAGAAGAACGGTGAGCCAGGTAGGAGGTTAGCAGGGAATGGAAGGGGACTTCTGGCCAGAGGGAACAGAACGAGCCAACGAGCTGCCTCCCGAGAGTGTGGTCACTTCAGGGAGGAGCTCTTGTGGCTGGTGCACAGGTGAGGCGGAGCCAAAGTGAAGTTAAATCCAGCTGGAAAGGTGAGCGTGGGGCATCCTGCGAAGCTTAAGGAGCTGCCCTTCTTCGGGAAATAGTCTTCTGAGCAAAGGGGTGCTGATCAGAAGTACATATTAGGAAGGTCCGCGGACAACATGTGAAGAGCAGAGCGAGGGGGAGAGATGACCGCCGCCAGTTCTGTACCTTTCAGGTTTGTTTTCATTGGCAAGTGTTGTTTTCTTTCTCGAGGTCAGCCATGATGCCGACCTTTTGAAATCGTCCTTCCTAGTTTTCTCAAAATTTTTAAGAGCTCTACATTTTCGTATAATAATTACATTAACCTTGCTGTTTATTTGTGATCCATGAAAAACCACACGTACTACTAATTTATCTTAAAATTTTATTCCTAAGGATTCTTTCTCAAAAAACCTCAATGGTATCTGTTCCAACTTCTTTTTTCTTTTTTTTTTTAAGTGTAGCCTAGGAAGTTTTCTTTAACTTGCCAAAGTGGTGCGTTCTCGGTTTTCATTTTAAAAACCATTTGGGATTATATCTAACCTAAATTAAATTGGAAATCATATCAGCAGAAATTCCACTGGCAGTTCAGTCAGTGGACTTCATGTTATACATAATTCTTAGTCGTGGTAAATTTTACATAAAAGCCTTAATGGTAATATCTGAAACTGCAGAATATTTATTTTATAACTGGAAGTTTGTACCTTTTGGCCACCTTCACGCATTTTGCCACCCCATTCCCCCTGCCTCTGGCAACCACCAGTCTGTTCTCTGTATCTATGAGTTCATTTTGTTTGTTTTGTTTTTTAAATCCCCCATCGAAAGGAGATCATATGGTAATTGCCTTTTTCTGTCCGACTTATTTCACTTAACATAATGCCCTCAAGGTCTATCCATGTTGTCCTAAATGGCAAGATTTGATTTTTTTTAGACGGCGGAATAACATTTCATTGTGTGTGCATGTTGTGTACATATGTATGTATATACATGCACACATGCAACACACACTACATTTTCTTTATCCGCTCATCCATTGATGGACACTTAGGCTGTTTCCCTGTCTTTGCTATTGTAAGTAATGCTGCAGTAAACATGGGGGTGCAGGTATCTTTTCAAGTCAGTGTTTTTGTTTTCTTGGGATAAATACCCGGAAGTGGAATTGCTGGATCATATGGTAGTTCTGTTTTTAATTTTTTGAGGAGCCTTCATACCACTTTGCACTGTGACTACACCAATTTACATTCCCACCAGTAGTGCACAAGGGTTCCCTTTTCTCTACATCCTCGCCTACGCTTATCCCCTCTCTTTTCGACAGTAGCCCCTCTAATAGGTGTGAGGGTGATACCTTATTGTGGTTTTATCTGCATTTCCCTGATGATTAATGATGTTGAGCATCTTTTGGTCTGCCTGTTGGCCACTTGTATGTCTTCTTTGGAAAAATGTCTATTCAGGGGGTGCCTGGGTGGCTTAGCCGGTTAAGCATCTGCCTTCGGCTCAGGTCATGATCCCAGGGTCCTGGGATCCAGTCCCGTGTCAGGCTCCCTGCTCCATGGAGACCCTGCTTCTCCCTCTCCCTCCGCCTGCCGCTCTGCCTATCTGTACTCTCTCTCTGTGTCAAATAAATAAAATCTTCAAAAAAAAAAAAAAATGTCTATTCAGATCTCCTGCCCATTTTTCTTTTTTTTTTTTTTAAAGATTTTATTTATTTATTTGAGAGAGAGAATGAGATAGAGAGCATGAGAGGGGAGAGGGTCAGAGGGAGAAGCAGACCCCCCGCTGAGCAGGGAGCCCGACGTGGGACTCGATCCCGGGACTCCAGGATCATGACCCGAGCCGAAGGCAGTCGCTTAACCAACTGAGCCACCCAGGCGCCCTTCTGCCCATTTTTCAAATCAGATTGTGTGGGTTTTTTTCTATTTCGTTTATGAGTTCTTTATATATTTTGGATATTAGCTCCTTACCAGAAGTATGACTTGCAACTACTTTCTCCTATTCAGTAGGTTGCCTTTTTGTTTTGTTGGTTTCCTCTGCTGTGCAGAAGTGTTTTAGTTTGATGTAGTCACGCTTATTTTTGCTTTTGTTCTTTTTGGTTTTGGTGTCAGATTAAAAAAAATCATTGCCAAGACCTGTGACAAAGAGCTTATCACGTATTTTTTCTTCTAGGATTTTTTATAGTTTCAGGTCTTACATCAAGTCTTTAATCCATTTTGAGTGAGTTTTTGTGTATGGTGTAAGATAATGGCTGAGTTTCATTCTTTGTGTGTAGCTGTCCAGTTTTCCCAGCACCATTTATTGAAGAGACTGTCCTTTTCCCATTGTATACTCTTGGCTCCTTTGTTGGAAATTAATTGACCATGTATGTGTGGGTTTAATCCACGCTCTCTATTCTGTCTCATTGATCTGTGTGTCTGATTTTATGCCAGTACCATAGTGTTTTAATTATTGTAGCTTTGTAATATGGTTTAAAATCAGGGAGTGTGATCCTCCAGATTTGTTCTTTCTCAAGATGGCTCTGGCCATTCAGGGATTTTTGTAGTTTTGTACCAATTTTAGGAATCTTTGTTCTATTTCTTTGAAAAATGCCATTGGAATTTTAATAGCAATTACATTGAATTTATAGATTGCTTTGGGTAGTATGGACATTTTAACAATAATGATTCTTCCAGTCCATGAGCATGAATATCTTTGCATTTATTTATAAATTCTTCAATTTCTTTCATTTGTGTCTTGTAGTTTTCAGTATACAAATCTTTTACCTGTTTGGTTAAATTTATTCCTGCATATTTTATGCTTTTTGATGCAAATGTAAATGGGATTGTTTTCTTAATTTCCATTTCTGGCAGTTTGTTATAAATATAAGAAATACAACAGGTTTTTGTGTATTGATTTTGTATCCTGCAACTTTACTGAATTTATTAGTTGTTCTCTTTTTTTTTTTTTAATTAGTTTTAGCAGGATTTTTTGGAAGTCTTTAGGGTTTTCTATGACATGTATATCATGTCATCTGCAAATAGTGACAGTTTTACTTCTTTTCCAATTTGGATGTCTTTTATTTGTTTTTCTAGGCTAATTGCTCTGGCTAGGACTTCCAATACTATGTTGAATAAAAGTAGTGAGTGTGGTCATTTTTGTCTTGTTCCTGATCTTAGAGGAAAGGCTTTCACCTTTTCATCATTGAGTATGATGTTAGCTGTGGGCTTGTGGTATATCCTTTATTATGTTAAGATACATTCCCTTAATACAGAGCTACAGTAACCAAAACATTGTGGTACTTATATGTCAATTATATTTCAATATAAATTTTTAAAAACCATGTGGTTCTTGGGGCGCCTGGGTGACTCAGTCGTTAAGCGTCTGCCTTCGGCTCAGGTCATAATCCCAGGGTCCTGGGATCAAGCCCCGCATCGGGCTCCCTGCTCCACGGGAAGCCTGCTTCTCTCTCTCCCACTCCCCCTGCTTGTGTTCCTTCTCTCGCTGTGTCTCTCTCTGTCAAATAAATAAATAAAATCTTTAAAAACAAACAAACAAACAAAACCATGTGGTTCTGGCATAAAGACAAATATATTGACCAGTGCGATAGAATATAGAGCCCAGGATGAACCCCGGCCCATATGGTCAAATGATTTTCAACAAGGGTGCCAAAACAATTCAGTGCGGAAAGGACAGTCTTTTCAACAAAAGGTGCTGGTAAAACTTGATATCCAGAAGCAAAAGAGTGAAGTTGGACCCTTATCTTACACCTTATAAGAAAACAGAGGGAAAGCTTCTTGACATTGGATTTGGCAGTGAGTTCTT